CAGTAATCATAATTGCATAATGAAGTTATAAGTACATAAAAAATAATTGTTATAATTATACATGTATTTTCAGTGACAAAAAATTTATAAATAAATTATATTGAAATAAAAAAGATGCATCAATACTGTGCAGCTGTACTGAAATATATATTAATGTGTTAACTTGAGACTCTATGGCGATCTTTCTGGCAGCTTGAGTTGATGTGTATCGTAAGCTAAAATAGCCCTTTTGACAGTGCTGGGTCTTGCATTTTTAATTATTAATAATAATTATTAAATTAATTATAATTAATTAATATTATTTATATTATTTTTATAGACAGAGAGAAGAAATAATAGAGAAAAGAATCTGAAGGACATGCTTAAAAATGCAAGCCATAAATAACTTTATCAGTGTGACTAATTTAAACTTTTAAAGACAAAGTAAAAATAAGATTGATAATTAAAATTTGATAGATTGAGAGAATTAGAACAAAAAATTATGGTAAAATACACGAGTAATAAAATGAACACAAATTGTTATAGTATTAAATTTGTCTAAACAGAAATGACCATAAGAAGTTTCTTAACTCGCCCGGCACAGTGATTATGATAGGTATAAAAGAGAGACGTCCTGCTCATAACAGACGCCAAATGAAAGAGTATCTCTAAATAGAAAGGGTTGCCGAACCAAAAATCCATAATTCACCAGATTCAAATAGAGACATTTAGAGTCAAACCCGACATGATACTCCTTAAAAGATAGAGCCCCATAGGCTTGCCAGGCTTGTGGGCAATAAATATATGATGAGATGCGTGACCATGAAATTTCAGTAGAGAAATGAATGCCAGATCACGAAAATTACAGTTACACTGAATTGCAGATTTATTAACATTGTATGAGAATATGATGGGTGAGAAGAATCGCCAGGTTACTGACTAGTGACTCAGTGCCAGAAAAATTTTCAGTACTCAGGTAGAATGTAAGCAGTGCAACTCTTGCTCAGTGCCCAGGAATGAGCTAAATTAAGACACTCCTGCCTTTGTTGACAGTCTGACAATAGAGATATGAGCTACTTTTGACTAAGTAGAGATATGACATGATGACGATGGGCAATGATGATATGATGGCCACCCTTGACCGCGCCCATAGCCGCACCTTTTTCTAGGCATGGTTTCAGTTGCGCGTGCATGCGCACATGGTACCAGTTGCGTAAATGCGGCAGCTGCAAAACGGAAAAGAAGACGAAGAGTTGGTACATTGCTGTAATTCATCCACAGATTACTCCATTCAGCTGTGATATGAGTCGACCAAAGAGATATGAAAGTCAGGGACTATGGTTTACTTAATGAAGTTTTTAATTTTTTTGTTTTATAGGTGTTTGTTCTGTGATATGAGTTGACCAAAGGGATATGAAAGTCAGGGACTATGGTTTACTTAATAAAGTTTTTAATTTTTTTGTTTTATAGGTGTTTGTTATATAGTCAAAATATAGATGACGGTGTTATTAGCATGAAGAATGAAGATGAACTGGAATTTCTGGAAATCCCTTGTGATGGACGCACGTCATTTTTATTGGGGGACAAAATAAATACAGAGTGGGATGATGGGGAAATGTATGAAGCTGAAATAGTAGATGTTGGACGTAAGCTGATTGCCTTCTATGATGTTGGATGTCATTCATGCAGATGCTGCATGCTTAGCTACCTTTATTTTTAGTGTGCAATTAAACAGTTGAATCCTTATATTATTTGGCTTATTTAAGTGACGTAATAGCATGTGATTTAATATTTCTGTTGGAGCATGCAAGTACTACTATAACTATAATTGACTTACTTTATGTTTAATTTAATAGCAATGCCTATACTACAAAGCCGAATGCATCAGCACAGGGAAAAAAATGATCAAGGAAAAAAGTAAGTTTTATAATTTATTGTGTTTTTGTTGGTATAATAGTTGAATCCATCATTGAATGAAATTGATTATTAATTTTATTTTTGTGATTTGCAAATGATGTTTAGGTCTTACACATTTCCCTGTTAATTTTGTATTTATATAGGAAGTCAAACTTAGCTCATGAAAGGAAGAAGAAGCAGGCAGCAGATATCAGTTGGCAATAATTTTAGCCTAAATATTTCGCTACTATTTCTATAGTTGATTCTATTATAGATAAAAATGATTCTATTGAAGATATATTCTCACAAACAACTGCGAAAGACTACGACATTTTCCCTGATTCCCCCAATCCAGCCGAGCATAACATATGTAAGCATTTCAATATGATTATTATTATTTATTAATTTTTTAGCTATTACTGCTGCAAAACATCTACACCTAAAGGTTCACAGCCTGGTAATGATCCTTTTTATTTTAAACTAATAATTAAACAATCATTCTTATTTTTAGAGCCGCAAAAACTTGATAGCAGTATCAATTTGAAACTCCACCAAGTTAGCTAACTTAAACAATTTAAATTTTATCATCTAGTTCTATTTTTAGAAAAAATGCATATAGTAAGTGATGAACAAGAAATAGAAAAAGTACATAAGAGATAAAAATAATAAATTATATTCATCTAACACTATTTACTAGTGGATAGAAAAATATAGAAAATTGAAGACAAAGTATCGAGAACTAAAAAAAAAGAATGGCGACTGATACAAGTATTGAAGGTGCGGATAGAATTTTAATGCACAAATGTGATATTACTTATTATTATCACAGAGAAACCAAAACCAGGTCTTGTGAAAAAAGAAATAGCAGAACAATTTGAAGTTTGTTACATAACTTACATTATGTAATACTGCCTATAACTACTTTTTGCATGCACATAATAGATGATCGAAATAATTCCCTCATCAAAAGTTTACTGGACTGAAGTGCATAAGCAATTAGTACTTAGCAAAACTAGCTCAGCTAGTCAGCTAGCAAATGCTTGTGTTGATGTGTTTTTTGATAAAAACATTTTCTTTAAGTAACACAAAAAGGAGGAGGAACAGGGAAGTACAAGCCCCTCAATGAAGATATTCTTAATGGACTAAGAGGTACCTGCAAATTAATCAAATTAAATGACTTAAGTATGAATTTTTCTAGCATTTGTTCAAAAGAATTATCCTGGAACAAAGCTTTCTGTTATCAACACCGTCATTGATAAGTGCACATCTGCAAGACGTATGAAGTAATAAATTTTTTCTCTTGTTTTGATAGCATTTTGTCTTAATACAGCTCTAAAAAGAATAAGGACACTGAATAACAAAGAAAAAAGATTATACAAGTTGATAATATACTGAAAGACATTACTATTGGGATATTCTTTATAGTTAATTTTTTTAATTAAATTTATATTAAAAATATATTTGTACTATAATCGTTACTGTGCAGGCATAGATTTAGTATAATATGTAAAAAATATAATTTACATATAAGAAACAGCGTATTTGCATATGTATTAAAACTAGCATTTAAGCATATGTAAACTATATGCTTTGTAAAACATGTTTCACATAGTCCGAAATACAGCTACTTTTTATATGTATGTATGAAGTATGCAAAAATATATTTCTAATATATATGAAACATATTTTAATTTTACCTGGGTTGGTGGAGCTGTCTTCTCATGAGTTAGACATGGTAATGATGGGACAGATAATGGCTGGAGCACACTGTGGTGAGTACCAGCAACAACAAGAAAAATAACATTAGAGAGAGATAAAGGAACTTTACAACATTTACTTTTGGGGGAATGAAGGTCAGTCACTTTGTTGAAATGAAATAAAATGAAATGGTACTGTACAGGTGTGTAAAGACACTTTCATATTTATTCATGGCATTGGGGAGAAGAGACTGAGGAATGTCAGGAAGTCTTTTTTAGAGAATGGGTTGACCTCTAGGTATAGCTCACTTTCATAGTAGCTAAAATGACTTATTTTTAGAGTACATGGGAACACTGGGAAAACACCCAGGCATGCACTTTCTGCTGACAACAAGAGATAGTCAGGTTCATAAAGAACTATGCAGAGGTGCATGCTATGATGCTACCTGGGTGTATTCCCAGTGTTAAGGATTATGCAAGGACCCATTTACTGCCATCAAGTACGACAAGGATGGGGCGAACACGGAGTATGTGAGAGCAGTAACAGGAGAAGGTTTGTACTTACAATTGTTTTCTTTCATACTGGAGAAAGCATGTGTCTGATTTACATGTCATGAAGGCCATTTCTGGCCTATGTTGGGTTTGCCAAGTGCCAACAGAATGGTGCAGCCATCGTGAGAAGTACCAACTTACCAATAGAGTGGCAGACTAATATAAGGACATGTAATATAAATAATTGCATGTAACAATAATAATTATTAGGCTTTACAAGAAGCAACTCAACACATTGATCTATAGTGAGAAAAGAGAGAGTACTTCAGGTCGGTGCTAAAGGAAGCTGCTACTCTTCTCAAGGGACTGTTTACCGACCCAGTAACAGGACTTTGTAGTCCATCATTAAGTGGACCATTGGCAGAGTTGGACAGCAGTGTGGTGGGATCACTGCATGACTTGTTGGAGGTGGTAGAGAGGTCCGCAAGTGTCAACAAAGGACAGGTAGTTGGAACACTAGAGGGTGAATGTATCGTGAAGTCATATGATTGGACTGGACACCTGGCACCTTCAAAATGATCAAGGCCATTAAGACATTCCATCACTTAGTGATGAATTGTCAAGCAATGGGTGTGGTCTCCTTTGGGAACCAATGGTAACACCATCAACTTGCTTACCTCCAGTAGTTTTACCTATTAAACTGTCAAGTGAATGGCAGTGGTACTTGTATCACAGGATCCGGCAGTTTTGTCCTGATGAGTGTAAAGATCTGACATGTCCTACCCATCTAGTGCTAGACCAAGTTCACGTACAAGTGCTCTTAAGGCTGAACATTTTTAAGAGCCAGCTGAGGAGGTAGAGGTACCAGTGACCTCTACAAGGAGAATAAGGACATGCAAGAACTCTGGTTTGACTGGTCATAACAGCCTTAGGTGTACTTACTAGTGGCATGTCAGGTTCTAAGCTTTCATTTCATTCTGTTGGTGAATGTCATACATATCCGATTGCATATCCCTCTAAACAGTCGGTCACTCTCTTCCTTATATGTTACCATCCACGTCTTCTTTGTCAGTCACTCACTCTCTCACTTGCAGCTTAAATATCATCCTCTCTCAGGTCTCAGTGGTCTCACTCACTCCCGCTAGGACTCCATGTGTGGTGCCTTTAATGTGAGAAAGATCCCACCCCATGGATGTTCCTAGTGTGTAGTAACTCTCTCTGTCTCATGCCAGTAGCACTGTCACTACTGCTATCACTCTCATGGTAAGCTACATATACATGTACGTGAAAGTTCTTATTCTGTTACACATTATAGTCACTCATAAACTGTCTCTCCTTGACATGCACCGTCATACTCTCTCTCTCTTACTTTCCCTCACCTAATGGTACTCCCTCTACTTCACTCATATCTGTCTCTCTGGTACTCACTCACACAACAATGGTTGTCACTGTCATCCTAACTACACAAAACATTCATTGTAAATAAGTCATCGAAATCTAGTCATTGCTTTACTTTAAGTACATACCTCTCTCCTTGTCCCTCTGTCTCAGTGCTAATTGTACACTACCTACTAAGTTGTTCCTGTCCTTGTCAAGGTACACGTATGTCTATTCCACATTCACATTCATTTGAATTCTCGTGCACTAGTCACTACTAATACCCATACATCTGCCTTTCCTTCTGTCTCCTATTCCCTCAGTCTCATTACTATCAGTCTCCTCAATGTCATGGTAAAAATTCTACACTAAACTTTACACTAACTATGACATAGTAACCCCCAGGTATCTCTCCTTCGCTCACGTCACTCATTTACTGGTACTCTCTTTCAGTCACCGGTATCTCTATTTTTCTCATCTACAGTCCCACTGAGTGCCATGGTAAGATAGCTAAACCAACCAGACAAAACTATTCATTGACTTTCCCAAACCTCTCTCTCTTTCTGAATGAATGATCCCACAATAGTCTATTCAAACTCATGGTAAGTTACATGTACTAGTATACACAATGCTAAATTATCTTTCCTCTCAGTCTCTCTCCCTCTCTCTTTCTCCCTCCTTGACTTACTGAACAATAGTCAACAGTCGAAGTCATGGTTAGCTACATGTACTGGAATATACAATGCTAAATTATCCTTCCTCTCTCTGTTTCTTTTTCTCCCTCCCCTCCCTCTCTCTCTCCCTCACAGACTAGTCTCCCTCGCTAAAAGTCATCACACTCATTTTTGTTAATCTACATCCACTACCCGTTACTAAACTATTCTTCCTCAATGCTAGTACCATCACTCACTGTCTCCTCTGGTTGCCCCTACTCCCTATCTCTGAATGTCTCACTCATTGTCTCCTTCACAGTGTCACCACTCCCCACCACAAAGTCTCACTCCCTTATGGTAAGTTCAGTGTACTAGCTACTATACACAATAATACACTGTCTATCCTACAAAGTATCAACACTCTAGTACTCTATGGTAATGTCTCTGTTCTCCATCGCTCCCTCCCTCCTTAATGTCTCCCTCACTTGTCACAATCAATAATGTTAAATTACATGTAAACTATACACAATAATACACATTCTTCGGCCTACATAAAATGAGTTGTACAAAATTAGAAAATTATTAAAATACTGATCCAATGGAAGCCATAACAAATACTTTTTCTACTACAAATGACTACATTTTGTGTCTAGACATAAACTCAGGTATTATTATGCTTCATTCTTTGAGGTTACTTATACTCTTGTACTTGTAGACTTGATTGCATTTCTGCTAAATCAAAAGAGATATATTGGTATTATTTCATCTGATGACACTATGGCTTGTGACATCAATCGTCTGGAGTTGTCACTACAAAAGAAGCATCATGGAGAGTGAAAAGTAATTGATGAAATTGTAGTAATGCATCTTAAAAATTCAAAAAGAAATCGAAATGTACCTTGTACAATGTATCATTTTTATGGCTCTTCAAATTTTAAGAAATTGGTTCATTTCGTAATAATGCTGTTGCTTTCTTGAATTTTTGATACATTAAAATTTGATTCTTCTCAATTTTCTTGAAATTTCAAGAAATCAGATGTGCTCTGATGATGTTTTTTAATGATTTTGACATTGCCAAGGAAACTATAGAGCTAAAATTAGCATTGTTACTATTACTCTTATACTTTTTTACATTTTTTTGCCCATTTAGGGAGGCATAAGAGAAATATAGTCAACTGTCCGACACTCAATAATACTGAAACTTTATAATTATATTGCAAAAATATGTGAAAAATAACCAATTTTGCAGCAACTAAAATGTAATTGGAAATTCCACAATGAAATTGGTAGAGGTTTGGATTTATTAAAGGAGAGCTAAATTATTTCTTAATTT